AAGCGCAAAAAGAGTCAGACTATATTATCTTACTTTGGTGAAAAAGAAGATCAAAATATACAACCAGAAGAAGACAACAAAGTCAAAGCTCCTACATCCAAAGCCTCCAAGAAAAAAATGAATCAGTCCCGGGCCTTGGAAGAGCTCAAAGGGGATTTTGAGAAGCAAGTAAGGGAAGCAGAGGAAAAACTGGAAAGAGAAATGAGAGCGATGTAAGAAAATTATGAAAAACAAGTCAACAGCTTGCTAAAGGAGACCCCCAAAAATACTGAAGGAATTAACACCTTAAAAAATAGCCTAACCAAAATGGCAAAAGAGGTCCACAAAGCCAGTGAGGAGAAAAATGCCCTAAAAAGAAAAATTGGCCAAATGGAAAAGGAAGTCCAAAAGACTACTGAAGAAAATACTTCCTTAAAAATTAGAATAGAGCAATTGAAAGCTAGTGACTTTATGAGAAATCAAGACACTGTAAAATGAATCCAAAAGAATGAAAAATTAGAAAACAATGTGAAATATCTCATTGGAAAAACAACTGACCTGGAAAATAGATCCAGGAGAGAGAATTTAAAAATTATTGGACTGTCTGAAAGCCATGATCCAAAAAAGAGGCTAGACATCATCTTTCAAGAAAATATCACTGCCCTGTTACAGTAGAACCAGAGGGCAAAATAGAAATGGAAAGAATGCACTGATCACCTCCTGAAAGAGATCCCCAAAGGAAAACTCCTAGAAATATTATAGCCAAATTCCAGAGTTCCCAGGTCAAGGAGAAAATATTACAAGCTGCCAGAAGGAAACAATTCAAGTACTGTGGAAACACAATCAGGATAACACAAGGTTTAGCGGTTTCTACATGAAAGGACCACAGGGCATGGAATATAATATTCCGGAGGGCAAAGGAGATAGGATTACAACCAAGAATCACCTACCCAGCAAAACTGAGTAGAATCCTTCAGGGGACAAAAATGGTCATTCAATGAAATAGAGGACTTTCAAGCATTCCTGATGAAAAGACCAGAGCTGAATAGAAAATTTGACTTTCAAATACAGGACTCAAGTGGAACATGAAGAGGTAAAGAGGAAAGAGAAATCATAAGAGACTGATTAAGATTGAACTGTTTACATTCCTGCATGGAAAGATGATATTTATAAGTCATGTGACCTTTGTCAGTATTAGGGTAGTTGGGTGAAACAAATTATATGTATATATAAATATAGATAGATAGATAGATGGCACAGGGTGAGTTGAAGATAAAGGGGTCATATCTGGAGAATAAAATTAAGGGATGAGGGAGGACTATACTTGGAGAAGAAAGGGAGAGGTAGAATGGGGTAAATTATCTCAAAAAAAAAAAAAAGAAAAGTCTGTTATAGTGGAGGGGAAATGGGGGAAAGTGAGAGGAAATGAGTGAATCTTATTCTCATAGGATTTGGCTTAAGGAGGGAATAACATACACATTCAATTGGGTATGGAAATTTGTGTTACCCTACAAGAAAATAGGGGGAGAAGGGGACAAGAGAGCAGGGGGATGATAGAGAGGAGGGCAGATTGGAAAAGGGTGTAATCAGAAGTAAATACTTCTGAGGAGGAACAGGGTCAAAAGAAAGAAGAGAATAAATGGGAGGGCAGAATAGGATTAAGGGAAATAGAGTTAGTTTTTCACAACATGTCTACTATGGTAGTGTTTTGCATAACTGTGCATGTACAACCTATAATTGAGTTGCTTGCCTTTTGAATGAGGTGGGTGGGGAGGGAGGAAGAGAGAAAATTTGAAACCTAAAGTTTTAAAAACATATGTTTAAAAAAAATGTTTTCACATGCTACTGGGAAATAAGAAATAGAGGAAATGGGGTACAGAGGTCTATCCTGCTGTACAGGAAAATAGAAGGGGAAGGGGAGAGAGAAAGAAAAGAGGACAGACTAGGGGAAGGGATATTCAGAGCACATGCCATCTTGGGGTGGGGGAGGGGGGAGACAGGGTGAAAATTTGGAACTCAAAAACGTGTGGAAATGAATGTTGAAAACTACAAATAAGTAAATTTATATTTAAAAAAAATTTCCACCCCCTTTCCCCTCCCCAAGACAGCATGCAATATGATATAGGCTATACATGTACAATCATATTTAACACATTTCCAGATTAGTCATGTTATGAAAGAAGAAACAGAACAAAAGGGAAAAGTTGAGGCCAGATTTTAACTCAGGAAGATGAGTCTTCTTGACTGTATCCACTGCACCACCTAGCTGTCCCCATGTCCCCCTATCCCAGTAATTCATTTTTTTGGTAAGTTTTAACCTTTATTTTAAACTTAAATACAAACTAAGAAAAGAAAAAAACTGCCAGGTACACATCAAAACGTAAGAGAGGATTCAATATCAAACAATAAATTTGCATTTCAACAAAACCTATATAATTAATACTGCAGGTTGTTTTTAAAAAAGAAACAACTCTGTACCTTCCTATCTTTCCAGTCTTCTCATAGTTCACTTCCCTCTTAGTACTTTATAATCTAGTAACGCTTGACTTTTTTTTCCTTCTTAGCACAAGACATTCCATCCCCCAACTCTCTACTTTTTCAATGGCTGTGTCTTATACCTAGAATGCTCTGCATCCTCACCTCTGCCTACTGGCTTTCCTGGATTCCTTCAAGACAGTCAGATCCTGTCTTCTGCGGGAGACCTCTCCTAGTCTCCCGTCATAATTCCCCACTCCCATTGCTAATGCCAACCCTTTGAGATTACCTTCCATGAACTCTTTACATATTGTATCTCTTTCATTAGAATGTGATCTCCTTGAGGGCAGGGACCATGTTTTTTGTATTCCTTTGAATCCCCAACATTCAGCACAGTGTCTGATACATGGTAAGTATTTCATAAATGCTTAGTGATTAACTAACTCTCGCCTATACACAACCAGAACTCGACACAGTACTGGACACACGAGACGTACTTAATAAATCTTTGTTGAATGAATGGTATCCAAAGCCAAAAAGAAAAATCAGTTTTATATTCCCTCAGCACTTAACAGATTCAACATCACCAGTGTATTAATTGGCACTAACTGCATATTGCTGCGTAAGGAATCTTATTGCTTTCTGTCTGTAGTGTTGAGGACATAAGTGGGGGCTTGGGAAATGTTGGCTAATACTCTTTGATTAAGATTGATTTTCTAGTACCACTAGTCAGGTGGGGGGCCCCCACTTTCTGAGGGGACAGAGATAAGACCTGAACCTGTGCTTTCATTGATATAGGGAATTCCTGGTAAGGACATTCAGCTAAGGTAGGAGAGCACCTTCTCTGAAACTTCTGAAACTTACAGTCTTTTTTAAAATAATATTTTATTTTTCCCCAATTACATATAAAAACAATTTCATTTTTTTTTTAGTTTTGAGTTCCAAATTGTATCCTTCCCTCCCTTCCCAAGATGGGAAGCATTTTGAAATAGGTTATATGTGAGCAATTATGGAAAACATTTCCATATGAGTCATTTTGTACCAGAAGACTCAAAGAAAAAGAAAGGAAGGAAGGGAGGGAGGAAGGAAGGAGGAGAGGAAGAGAGGAAGGAAAGGAGAAAGAAAGAAAGAAAGAAAGAAACAAAGAAAAGAAAGAAACAAAGAAAGAGAAAGAAGGAAGATTGAACTTATAGTCTTAGAAAAAGATGCTGAGAATGCTGAGAGATTTGGTGAGTTGCTCAGTCACGCACTTAGTTTGAGCCAGAAACAGGACTTGATCCCAAGATTTTTATCTTTCTATTCCCAGGGCTTAGTAATGGAATTTGAAAATCTCTGACTTGTTCTGCTTTAAAACTCCTGGGCTTTAATAAAGGGGATCAGGTGACAGGCTACTCAGGGCAATGGTCAGACAAAGTCATTGGAAAGAATTTGGAAAAGGGAAGGCTCCAAAGAGCCACTGTGAGTGACATGATGACGATGAAAACTACCCCCCCACCACCAACCTCAAAGGCTGACCAAGTTGCTTGAAGAGCCAAGGGCAATGTTGTTGCCCTACCTTCTCCATCACCATAAAAGGGTAGGATCAGTGTCTGGGGCATGGGCAATGGGAGTACACAGTGGATATTCTAGTTCAAGTAGCTTTGTGAACAAAGTATTGAACAGGAAGTTAGCTCCAGGGTAGAAGAGCAGGTCTGAGAGACATCTGTACAGAAACCCAGCACAGACACATGAATTTACTAAGAGTCATTTAGAAGACAGTTCCTGCCCCTTTGCAAAGACCTTCATAATAGAACCTCACCCCCTTCCATGGCACGTTCATCTATAGTAATACCAGTTGTAAGACAGTAAATGGGGAAGAGAGACCTCGGGTGTTCTGAGAGATTTCAGCAAGAGAGATCATTCAGAATCATAGAAGTGTCCTTAAAGGTCAAATGGTCCAACTTTTTGTTCAGGGCAGGAATTATAGTAGAGAAGCAGATGAGATCGAGAGCTTTTGTAGTAAAAGGGGTTATGGCACTTACATCTGGATCTGAACTCACGTCTTCCTGACTCCAGGTCCAGTGCTCTATGCATTGTACCACTTAGCTTCAAGTTGCTTGTGACTCCCTCCCAGATCCCTAGTTCTCAGGCTCCCTTAGCTCATTCCTTAGAGTCTTAAGATCAGGCTAGTTAGCCTGTTCTGTTTGGTTCGATTACAGGATCATAGATTTGGAGCTGGAAGGGACATAAGGTCATCAAGCCCAGTCTTTTCACTTTACATTTGGGGAAGTGGAGGCCCAGAGAGATGAAGAGACTTCATCTGAGTTAAATAGCAAGTGTCTAAGTCCATACTTGAGGCATATTTTAAAACCTCAACTTCAAAGCAACTTCCAAGAATCTCTCTGACTCCTTTCTTTGTGGCCATCTGTCTCTTGAACTGGCCATATAAAAGCCATCCTGGGATCTGGTTCACCCATTCTCTGCTCACCCTCATTCCAGGGGAACTAGGATGTGGTAAAGGAAGCATCACTTGCATTTTGTTCTTGATGTTTTGCCCCTTTCTTGCACAGAGGGGAAAGATAAGGTGAAGATGAGAGTTTGGGCATTGTTCTACACTCTTCTCTGGCTCATTCCCTTGTTTTCCCCTTCCTGGAATGACCTCCCTACTCACCAGACACTGAACACCAATTTCAAAGTAAATTGCTAGGCTGTCATGTTCTTCCTTCCAAAAACACTTTTACCTTTTGTGGTATGGAGCTGGGCAGAATGAAGGGAGACTCACCAAAAGAGGTTTAGGCAGGTTGTCATTCTCACAGATTTCAGACAGCGAAACCCCAAAGAGCTGCTGTGGCATGGAGGATGGTGAAGGTGTTGGTATGTTGTCACAGTGAGTACTGGAGCCTCGCCAAAAGGGCCAATTTATTTTAGATCTTTTGAGCATCTTCTGGCTGGGATCTGAGGAATGATAAGATGATTAGTAGAATAAATTAATTTCACATAGATTCTATTGCCATTGCTAGGTTTTGGTTTGGTTGTTACGGCTTGAGCAGGAAAAAAACCCCCAACACATTTTAATGTGATCAGCTATACTTTGTTATACAGCATCTGAATGTCTAGAACACCCCTGCAACTGAGGTTACAAATTCAGGAGCAGATTTAAACATGCCATCTCATAATTCATTCTAACAGAACTTCAGGATCTCTTCACAACCATTTTGAGGTCTTTTTTCAGCTGTATTGAGCCACGAAGGAAATGTGTGTTCTGGGATATCTCCTTAAGAGGTTGAGATTTCCAAAGATGGGAAGAGAGTCAAGGGGAAGAGGAAGAAAGCTTATTTACATGATTGAAATAACTTGTCAGAAGGCTTTCTAGTCTAATGAACATCTGTTCCCCCACACTATAGAAGAAAATGGGCACCGAAAAGAGTTAAACAGCTTGATCAATGATTTCCAGGGAAACAATAAGGTTTTAAAATTATTTTTCAATGAGATGTCCAGAACAAATCTTCGTTCTTCCCTCCAATGGGCTCCACTAGGATAACAGATTCAGAATAAGAAAGGGCACAAGTCACAGGGTGTGTTAGAAATTCTGTGATTGCTTCTTTCCCTACCAGATCTGAATTCAAGATTTGCTTTTCCCTTCAAATAGGAGATTTTTAAAAGGATGTTGCATATTTACCTGTGATTTTATTACAACTTACAGTAAAACAATAAACACTGATAGTTATTTCCGACCAATTTTCAATGAAGCTGATATTCTATAAAGATGAAAGCAGAAGCAGGTATAGTACCGTGGGGCTCTTTGCTTTTAGATTTGATCTGCTTAATTATAGAATCACAGATTTAGAGCTGGAAGAGGCCTTCCTTAGAAGTCATAAAGTCCAGTACATATAGGGAAACTGAGAGCTTAAGGGACTTTGTCAGAATCACAGAGCTACTAGACACCTGAGGCAGGATTCCGGGATCTACCCCATTACACCACACTGCTGCCCCGCTGCCATTCACATTGATCTGCTTCTTTGGGTTTCCAAAGTACTTTCATCCCAATCTTGCAAAATAGATACTTTATGATCATCCCCGTTTTACAAATGGAAACTGAGATTCAGTGTTCACTTGATTTGCTGAAGGTCACGCAGATTATATGGAAGGCTCAGAATTTTTAACTTTGGACTCTGCTTACCACAAGTACAACTTTCTATATATGGGTTAGATGAAAGCATCAAATTTGTAGATACTGTCAGGTGGGAAAGTATAGATACTAATGCTAGAAGAAAGAATTAGAATCCAGTGAAATCCCAATACATTGAAAAGATGCAGTAAATCAAATGAGATGCAATTCAGACATCATGTCCAGTTCTATATTTGGGCTCAGAATAACCAAGTGTACGAGTACAGAATGAGCAGAGTGCTAGACGGGTCTGAGCCTCCAAGTCTAGAGATGTGCATTTGAAAGCTGAATGACCACTTGTCAAGCATTTCTGGATAGAATATGTTTGGTTATTGTTTGGATGAAATAATCTCAAAAGCTCTTATAACCCCAAGGTATGGAAATTTGCTTCCTGGTCAAGATTTTAAGAGGATGTTAATCCAAATATGAAGGAAGACAGTGTTCTGAGTGCTTGTTTCTACTGCATACCAAAACAAAATAAATAAAATAAAAACCCTATGGATAAGTGAAATTAAGGGGGTGGGGAGGAGTGTGGGATCAGTTAACACTTTGCCAAAAGAAATAAACACTCATAGAAAGCTATTCTCCTCTATTCAATAATAGTGTAAGTGCATCATCTTTCTATACACTCAGGTTTTTTTCATATAAAACCCAATCCCAGCAGGGCCCAGTTCTTCCATTGGGAATGTCCAGCTTGCAAAGCCTAAGGCAGCCTACACATCCCCAGGCTGAATTATTCTGAATCACTTTAATAGCTTTCAGGAGGTATGTGGTTATGAGGGAAATGCCAAATACTCTTCTTGGCTGAAGCTATTTCTCTACGGCCCAAAAGCTTCATCCTCTCCACACTTCCCAAACTGTAAAAGGCAAAGAAGGAAACCAAACACATTCTTAAATGTTGGAGGAAATTCTGGTCCCTTTCACCATGCCAGTGTGTGCAAATGTTTAAATACATCACACACAGACACACACACACTCAGAGAAATATGTGTAAAGAAAATGCTGAGCTGCTCAAGACATCCTCCCTAGCACTCCCGTTTCTAAAGCCACCCAGATTTATTCAATGACTTAGCCCCTCCATACCTTTGAGGAGAAAAGCTCTACTGATCTGCTCTAAACTTAGAAATCCAGCTAGTCTAAGGGTGTAGACAGAGGACAAAGTGGAAGTTCTAGCCTGTACTTCATCATCGGTGCTTTCAGCCTTCGTTGTGACTTTTGTTACATGCATCATTCAGTTGTGAGTGCTCATGTTTCCTCTGGGATTGGATGGAAAAAACTTTCATTAAAGTTTCCTTTCCTGTAGTGCTTTGAATGCATAACTTGAACTTTCTGCATGTCAGGTGCTTATTGGGGGAAAATGCTGTTGCCATGAACAATATGAGGATGATGTCAACACAAACCAAACCAATTTCATGGAATGCAATTATTAGGAGGGGAAATATTTGAAAGTACAATTCTGAGCATTGCTAAGAGCACCAGAATAAAGAAGAAGAGTCAAAATGAGCTGGGTTCTCATAGCGATGACTATTTGCTGGCTGAACGACTAACAGCTAATTAAGTAAAATTACTTTTTCTCTCATAACCTAAGTTTTCTCATCTGGAGACTGGGGATATTAATTGCAGTGCCTTAGACACAGTAGGAACTTAATGTTTGTCAGATTGAATTGAATTGTACTTCCAAACTGACAGGGTTGTCATGGACAAAGTGTGAGTGCCACAGAAATGTGAGTAATTATTATGCAACTACGTTCATTTTAGGGAAGGTTTAAGAATCATGACCTCTTAAAGTGGGCTGCAGGCTACACCTGGATAAAGACATGGTGTAGCCTCTGATACAATATAAGCAGTTTGAGGGCAGGGGATAATCAAGGTGAGGAAGAGTAAAGGGTAGAGGATGACTCTAAGGTAGTAAATGTGAGTGCCTGGAAGGCTGAGGGTTCTCATGGCAACAGAAAGGATGAGGCCACAGTCTGGATTAGTCAACCTAGCAGGTTGCCTTGGATTACTCAGATAATAATTCTTAATTCTGGAGTTTCCTTGACTAGTAAAATAAGCAGACAGAGCAATTGTGAAAGTTGTGGTCTGGTCAAGCTTACACAAGTCAGTGATGAGCCCCCTCTCCCTCCCAGGCCAGTTCTCTTCTCCCTTCATCCCCTCCCTTCTGTCACCTTCTTTGGCCTCAGTAATTAAAACAAGGCTCTCCTTACTTCTGGAAAGGCTGTGTCGGGTGTGTCTGTTGGCTCTACTCATGACCAATCATCATCTCCTGACCAAAACTTCTTTCTCTGCTGCCACTAACATAAAAGGCAATCAGATGGCACCGTAGACAGTCAGTAGAAGTCAGGCAAACCTTCCTTAGTTCAAATCTGGCCCTAGATGCTTACAGCTGTATGACCCTAGGCAAGTCAGTTCATCTGTTTGCCTCAGTTTCCTCATCAGTAAAATGAGGATAATTATAGCAACTGCTTCCCAGAGTTGTCGTGAGGATAAAATAATATTTGCAAAGTACTATATTAAAAAGTTCTCTTCTCCTCCTCCTCTTCATTATTAGTTGTATCTTTCTGTTTGAATATAAGATTCTTGAGGGCAGGGACTATGTTGCTTTTTAATTTGTATCCTGACGTCTTACTACATTGCCCAGTTCCCAATCAGCCTTTCAGAAATTCTTGCATTTTTCAATCAGCTAGGTGGGGTGGCTGAAGGAGTGCTGGCTTAGAGTCAAGAAGACCTAAGTTTGAATTCTGCTTCAGACACTTGCTAACTCTGTGGCCTTGGGTAGGTCCCTTAACCTCTGTCTGCTCCAGCTTCTTCATCTCTAAAATGGGGATAGTAGCATTTGCCTTCCAGGGTTATTTGTGAGGATCATATGAGATGCTTGCTATCTGTGAAAGACTTTGCAAATCTTCAAAATACTCAGTGAATGTCACTTCTTACCAGTGGATGCTCATCCTTTCCCTCTGACAAGGCAGATTTTCCACTGCCACTTCCCACCTCAACTAATTAAAGGTGTGGTACTTTAACTTTGTTGTGCCTCAGGCTCTTCATTAAAGACATGATAATACCAGGCTCATTCCAGAAGGCAAGAAAATGTACTACAGTGACCTCTGGAGGTGCCTTAGGATCACAGAATCCTGCTCTAATTCTGCAGTTCTCCCTGCAGAAATCTGGGGCTACCCTTTCCTGACCAGTTCATTTTTTATTCCTTGGCTCTCAGTAAGGAACACTGATTAGAAAGTCAATATTCTGTGTGTCTTTGGGTAAGATCTTGAACGTCTCTTGGGCTGGTAAAATGAGGACATGAGGTAGCTTAGAATTCAATTCTATGGTCAGTCAGTCACTCAAAGACACATTTATCAAGAACCTATTATGTGAGTGCTAAGTACTGGGAAGACAAAGGCAGGCAAGGTCCTTGCCCTCACAGACCCTCACAGTCTAATAGGGGAAGGCAACATACAAAACAGAAGCTGCAAAAGGGGAGAGGGAAGGGAAGAGAGGAAAGACTCCCCCGTAGAGTCCTGTGCTTAGCGTCTATTAAGAGTCCCTCCCTTATATCACTCCTACTATTGACACACCACTAGACCTTCTGTTCACTCCATTCTTGTCTGACTAGGGCTTGCATCTTTTCTCTGAAATATTCTTTTACCTTGGGGCTTTATAATCAGGATCTCATTCTGCCATACTCTTTTTTGGCATGGGGGAGTAGAGGAAATATGGGAAACATGTCAAAAGATTCCCTGGGTCCAGGCCCTTATATGGCCAGGTGGGCGTCCAGAAAGTTGTGCACCTA